ACTATTCCCATCACTGGCAGTGTAGACGCCTGTAGGTGTGCCAATTGTTTAGGATGCCATTTCCCTTTCTCACTGATGCACGTAATTGAACGCTTACGTCCAACAAATCACTCGCCAACTTGGTAAGATGAGATCCATTTTCTCATTTTTATTTCAGCAGTGCTAGGTGCCTACTCAGTGAGCACGCCATCAAAGGAATTCCGTACGCTCGATAAGCCGTGGCCATATTCATCTTGTGCTACCTGACCTAACGAAAGAGCAGGGGAGAGGGGTGCAGTATCTGCAGGCAGTGCAAGAAATGGGGAAATACAGGGAAAAATGAACATGATATGAATAACGCTATGAGACAGAGAGGTGTTTACCGTTCAGGGATTAGACCAAGATGCAGGTCTAGATTCTTTTTGAAAGCGAATCTTGTGGAGGCATTAACTACTTCTTCGGGTAGACTATTCCAAAGAGAAATGACTCTGTGGGTGAAAGAGCACTGAGGGACTAGTGTACGGGCACGCGATTTGAAGAGTTTCATNTGCTGCGCCTACGAAGATTGTCCGTACCAGTACGCACAAAGAAGTCATGAACCCTGCCGGAATTAAAGAGGTTGTACAATAGAAAGATGTCACCTCTCATCCGTCGACCTTCAAGGGGGTACAGGTTCAAGATGGAAAGGCGTGTAGGGTAAGAGTAAGTGCAGCCGACCTTTGCTTAGCTATGGCCACTATGTAGACCACCATCAACAATCTGAACACTATTTGCACGACCCGTAGTCGTTCCCGGGCAAGGAACGGGTGTACGTCAACCAATTCGCACTTGAGTGACGCGTAGCCGAAATCGATACGAATCCCGAAATAAAACACGATTGATCCGTAATGTTCTACGGTACGAAATTAGCAAAATCATTACAAATGTACAATAAAGCAAACATCGAATATGCGGCCAAAATCACTCAAGGAAGCGAGCCAAATATGATGTTCAGATAGAGCCAAACAGTCGCTCACGTTCTCTGACCACGTAAAATTGAAATGTGCCGGGCATCGAATTAACAGATAAATAATAATGCATGGTATTTGTGATTGAGAAATGTCAATAGAGAAGCAACACAGATAGAGTTATGTCACCATAAATCATCGTGGATTTGGAAGGATTTTCAAAAATTCAACATGAAATACAACGGGCGCAGGCGCACTTCATCTAGCGGCG